CGGTGACGAACTCGTCGATGTTCTCCAGGTAGAGCTCGTCCTCCATGGCGGGGACGGGCAGGCCCGAAAGGCGGGAAAGACCAAACCCCCTCAGCGAGGAGGAAATCCCGCTGCCTCCATGGCAACGGCAGGGCCTTCGCGCGCTCTATGGCGGCCGCGCAGGGACATACGCACCTGGCGGGCGTTTCCGTGGCGACGGCCGGCGTCCCTCCGCATTGCGCACGCGCGCACTACGGGCGCCGTGCAGGGACATAAACATTCGTCACTCTGTCGGGCGTTGCCTTCGCGAGGGCCGGCGACCTTCCCGCTTTGCGCACGCGCGCACTACGGGAGCCGCGGTGGGACTTTTTCCTACAGAGGCAAAATTACTCGGAGAGGAATCGGGAGGGGGAAGTAAGCGAGGGAGGGCGTGAGTTGTCCGGGCAAAGACTTCCTTCCATAAAGAGTCCTCTAGCTATGGGGATGCATAGCCTGGGGACTCTCCCTTTTTTTTGGACTACAGTTCCCAGATTCCCCCAACTATCATACTGGCAGGGGGGATTCTGGGAGCTGTAGTTCCTCCCGAAAAAAGGGTGTGTCCCGGGCTCTGCTTCAAAGGTAGACTGCTGCTGGGCGTGGAGGTTCTGCATTATCATCCTGATTGGAGTTCTTCTACATTTAGTTTGGTCCGATTCCTTTCCCTTTCATGTCTGCCAAAACAAAATAAATAAAACAATTTTTTAAAAATCCCCTTATTTAAGACTTTTTTAAAAAAGTTCTTTGTCTGATTCCCTTCCCTTCCATGTCAGGCAAAAATAAAACAAAAATATTTTTAAAATTCCCCTGATTTAAGGGCGTTTTAGCTCTCCTTTTGCTATAAAAAAAATGGAAAGAACTGTTTATGAAGACAATCTTTATCCTAAGGTGTAATCTAGATTTAAGATACCCAAGATAGAAGGAATAAGAGAGAGAGAGAGCGAATGAGGGGAAAGGGGGGGTATATAATAGAACAAGCAGGTGGACAGATATAGATGGGGTGGGGTGATGCAGTGGCTTCCACCCGGTCACACCAAAGGCTGCTAATCCCAGCAGATCACACACACCCCAAAAGTTCAGGCTATGACAAACCCCCCCGCTCACACCCTATAGAATTTGTTCTTAATTGTCTTGTGAACAAATCCCTTCTCTCTCTCTTTCTCTGAGTCTCTCACTGACCCGTTTCCCCGCATGCCCCCTTCTATCCAAGTGTTATGGGAGGAAGAGGAAAATCCCCCGCCAACCTGTTCTCCCTAGTTATGCATCCCAAGCCTTCCTGCCTTACAAGTACTGTACTGGTTTCACAAAAGAGGTGTGAGATTATTGTGTTCTTGGACCCCCCCGACGGCCAGAATTCCAGCCCTGTGGCCCCGGGAGGGTCTTGGGACTTGGTATTCCAACAACCGGCACATCTCTGGAACAAATCAGGATCCCCGTACAGACCAAACTGGACCAAGGTGCAATCTATCAGCACGTTTGGGAAGGACCCAGGGGTTGCAGAAGGACAACATGAATCAGTGGGGTGGGAAAGAAAGGTGTTTTCCTTATAGTGGGGGGGAACCCATTAAAACATCCTGGAGAATACTGACTGTGTTCAATGGCTCTAGAGTCTGATGAGTTATACATAAGACAAGACATAAGATATTTATTTGTCATTGCACTTATACGGTAGTGGAAGTAGAAAAAGTTGTACATTTTGCAACCTGCATAGGATGTATTTGAGAAGTTTTGGCTGAGAGGGAAGTCCAGTGAATGTCGTGAATGTCAATTATTCCCTCGTTATCTCGGATTCTTTTCCCCAACTTTTTTCCAGTCAGGGTTCAGTTAAAGTCTGCCAGTGATAGCAATGGGTTCTGTCAAAAGTAGACGGAGTGAAGTGTGCTGTCAGCTTTGTAACCAGACCAGTTAGTCAGCAATTAAGCTAGTTAACCAGTTAAGCTCAGGAGTGTAACAAGTTAGCATTTTTATACAATATGTCGTTTGTTTTTATCCATGAAGAACTGTAAGTAAAATTAAACGTTTCTATTCTTTCTCTAGTGCCAGTTGAGGTAAACTAATAAATAAGAGGTGGTCTGTTTTTATCTATGAAGAACTGTAAGTAAAATGAAACATTTGTTTTCTCTATGAAGACCTGTAAGTAAAATGAAATATTTCTATTCTTTCTCATTACCAGAGTCTCTGGGTGAACTGGCACGTACTGAGACAATAAGTGCCAGTCGAGGTAAACTAATAAATGAGAGATGGTCTACTGAGGGAGGCTTGTAGCCCAATTTGCTTTGTAGGTTCCTGCCCAAACCATTTTCGCAACTGTGCAATCAGAGGAGGTTTAATTTTAATATGAAGCCACACTCAGTTTCCTCACACATTTTGCTCCCACTGAAAAGGGGTAGGGGAAAGGAATGAGGTATCTAAGAAAAAGACATGGCTGACTGGGTGAGGCTTTAAATAGGAGTATACCATATTCGTATTCTTAAGGTGATACGCGGGACCCATTTATACTCTCAATCAGAGTTTCAGCATCTTATATTTGAGCTGCAGCTCCGAGAATCCTTCAGCCCAGGGATTCCAAGAGTTGCAATCCAAAAATTTAAATTTCCAAGTTCTGCTCTTGATTATAGCATAGACCTCTTGTGACAGGAGTCATAAAGAGACACAGGACAGCAAGGGCTCAGATGCAAAACAACGTTGCGAGGAACCGCTGTGGAAATCAAACTGGGCAGCCTCCTGAAACAGCCCGGCCTCCCCTTATTTTTTGCCCCACCAGCATAGCGAATGGCTGGTTTGTCCCATGTTTGCAAGGATACTGGTTCCTTGAATCCTAGTCTAAAACCACAACTTTAAACCAGCTGGATCTAAGCCATGTTGTGACAGAGAATCGATGCACTTGAGAGGGGCTTGTTTGGGGAAGAATTGGATCCTTCCTCGCTTCCTTCTGACTCACAAGTTGCTCTCCAGGATTCAAGGAAGAAAAAGAATAGGTGCTCATTATTTTCATTTGTCTGTTGCGTTGGACTGAGGTCATCAATGGGAGGGAGAACCACCATCTCTTGCCCCCCCCGCCTGCCTGTTTGCCCCCCAGGCTCGTGAAACTGGCTTGAATAATGTTGTGTCATGGTGTGGCACAGCTATCTAGTGCCAAAGATGAAGGACTTTTGTTGTTGTTTAGTCATTTAAGTTGTGTCCGACTCTTCGTGACCCCATGGACCAGAGCACGCCAGGCCCTCCGGTCTTCCACTGCCTCCTCCAGAGGTCGCTTCGATGACACTGTCCAGCCATCTCATCCTCTGTCGTCCCCTTCTCCTCTTGCCTTCACACTTTCCCAACATCAGGGTCTTTTCCAGGGTGTCTTCTCTTCTCATCAGATGGCCAAATTATTGGAGCCTCAGCTTCAAGGACTTTGCCCAACTATAGATCCCATGATCCCTGAGGAAGGAGCGACACCCGTTGAAAGAGTAACAGATTCCTAGCACCCTGTAGTGTAGGTACATTAAAACAAATGAGTTACGTTCATGGAAGGGAAGACCAGAGGAAGATATTTTTATTATCAGCAGGCAATTTGATGTAATGACAAAGCTGCGGTTTCATTCACAACAAAGTCCACCTTCACACAGATTTGTTTCATCTCATTTTTGGGGAGGAAATTCCTCTGGATCAAGAAGTTCTGTTTCCAGTTGAGTCACTAACACGGCTATGCCAGTCTTCCCGATATACAGCACCTATGAGGGGGAAAACACCAAACATTGACAGATACATCAGTGGCACGAGACAGCGAAACCCCTTGATCTGATGTTGGTTTCTTGTATGAATGATTGTGATTTGAATCAACTATGAGGGTTCCATGAGAAAGTAAGGGGAAGCTGACTTCAAAGGATCAAACGAAATCCCTGGCTTGCAGTCTTTGTGAGATGTTAAATCAAGCCAAATTAAGATCTGGGAAGTAAACTGTCTGCAAAGGACACCTGAGCAATTCAAAGGATCCCTATCCCAACTTCCTGAATTCACACCTGAAAAGGGTTTGATGCCTGGATAACAAAAGACACCAGAGGAAGTTAAAAGGGAGCCTTCTGAAGAGAGAAAAGAAGGCAGAAAGAGCAGGAGAAAGACTACTGTTTGCTGAATCTAGGTCTCCCAAGACTTCCCAGTGTGTGTAGCTCTTAAGCATCAACGCAAAGAAGGACACCAATCTGAATAACCCACCGCATGCAGGCAGACTCAGCATGGACTTCTGCCATGAATTTTTGGGACTCTGACCTACAATATCTATAATTTTTTCTGTGCTATGGTGTACAGCCAGAGGAAGTGGGATATTTACTCACGAAAGCTTGTGATTTCTTTCTTTCTTTCTTTTTTAGTGGTTCAATAAAGGTATCACTCTACTCTTGGATGTGTGTAATTCTCAACAATCTGAATTCTCTACAATCTTATTTATTTATTTATTGTCATTGTAAGTGCTCTTGCATTTGTGTAATTCTGAACGGCTGGGCCTTTTCTGAATTCTCTACAATCTTAATGGAATGTCCCTATGCTACCTGAGATGTAAAGATACAGAGTTAGAAATGTTTACTGTTTAATGGAATATCCCTATGCTACCTGAGATATAAAGATACAGAGTTAGAAATGTTTACTGTAATTTCTAGAGGTGTGCAGAGTTGTGCTTTTTTGGAGTCTAATTCTAGATTTCCCAGAGGGTGACCATGGAGGCATTATTTTATTTATTTATTTATTGGATTTCTATCCCGCCCATCTAGACCAAAGGCCTACTCTGTTTATTATCAAAAAACAACAGCAGGCTTCTTTAAACCATCATACCTTACATCTCATCAGACATAATTACCTTTCCTGCTGAATTAAAAGAAGGCAAGAATTGATAGCATTGAAGAATGGGACTGGGTTTTTTTATGTTAAAAGAAAAGACACAACAAAATAAACCATGTTATTTTGCCTTTTCTTAACTCGACATCTTCCCGATGTGCTAGGTAGGCTCACAAGAGCCATGCTGGATGGGGATGATGGTGGAGACACCGGATCAGGGGGAGCTGACGTATTCTGTTTCTATCCACTTTGCATTAGACTGAGATAATAATGTACATTTATCATGAAATGAAACCCCCGTTACTTTCCCATTTAGCTAAGGAATGCTGTGCTGTAAGAGAAGCAAGGGGTAGATGGGTGAAACAGGGTTGGAGACACCGGATCAGGGGGAGCTGACGTATTCT